TAACGGCAAGCTCGATCTCCTCAACACGCAGCAGATGTTGGGCGGATCTCCAGCTCACATCACTCTCAGCCCGAACGAGGACTTCGTTACTGTCGCTAACTATGCTGGTAGTCTCTCGCTGGTCCCGCTATACGAGAACGGTAGTGTGGCTCCAGAGACGTACTACGAGGCATTCCCGAATGGAAGCCGAGTCGTCATGGACCAACAGGCTACGGGTCACATCCACAGTACGAGGTGGCTGCCCAACTCCAACAACGTAATTGCTTTTGACCTTGGAGGCGACACCTTGCTACAGTATGAGCTGGATGTAACTAAACAGACACTGAAGAAACTCGAGACCGTCAATCGTCCGCCCGGATCCGGACCACGCCACTCGGTGTTGAGTACGAGCAGAGACTTTCTGTACATCACGGACGAGCTCTCCAACACTGTCGGCGTGTACAGGATCAGCCACCAGAAGTCTCTGCTGGAGAGTCCTGCGATCCAGAACATCACGAGTCTACCAACAGATTTTACGAGCACCAGCACAGCCGCCGACATCCACCTATCGAAGAACGGCAAGTTCTTGTACGTGTCGAGCCGCGGCCACAACTCGATCGCAATCTATGAGATCAATGAGTCGGATGGTACGTTGACATCGCTCGGCTGGGAGAGCACGCGTGGTCGTACACCTCGAGGATTCACCATATACGATGGCGAATCAGGCGTCGGACGACATGTACGTGTTCAAAGTGGACGAGCAAATGGGATTGTTGGCGTACACGGTCAACTCGTACGAGATCGATGGGGCGGTGTGTCTGTACGTATCGACGTATTCGTTCTAAAAAGACGAAGCTTCGTTTCGAGAAAAAAAAAGATAGCAATTTTAAATTGGATAACATGGATTCTGAGTTAGTGCTGGTTTGGAACATGTTCAGAACATGCTCCTATTGTTCCAATCAGCAGTGAACAAACTACATTACATAGTAAATATGCTGCTGAACCAACGAGAAGAGATTAGCAAAGAAAGCGTATAGCTGTATTGCACTGCCTACCGCCTCTAAAGTACTAAACGTCACTGTACGCGTAATTAAATACTTAAAAATGCATGGCATGGGCCAGCTTCGTTTCCCTTTTGCTGGTTATTTTTGGCTCAATCGAACCCTTCGAACTTAAATGAATAGAAACAATTTGGAGCAAATGGAACCGTTCTGAACGTTGGAACAAAAGGAACGTTCTGAACAAGGGTTGTTCCAAACCAGCACTATCTCTGACTATACATGTACAGATTCAGTTTCTGGGCGGAGTCTGTAATAGAAAGCATTCCCAGACAAATTGGTCACTGGTTTTAATGTCCTTTTGAGAAACTTTTACTGTCGTCGTGGAATGGCAAAGGACTGGACACAAATCGTGGTCCTCGATTCGTGGAGCTGTTCTTCACAGTATAAAGGCTCTTTCAGCCAGTGGCCAAAAGGATCCTAAAAGCTGTACGGCTGCTAGCCAACATGGACAGTTCAACTACATCGATCCATGCCGAACAAGATCCCCTTGTGAAGTACTACCTGTAAAAATTCACACTGCTCTACTTAACATGTAAATCAACATAGCGTTATGATCAGATCCGTTTGCGAACTACTATTTACAGTACATGCATACAGTATAAAAATTGGCTCCACGTTCATACATACGGCCTTTTAATTGAAATAACACGTGTGTATGAATGCGGAGCCATCGTGATCGTATTATTTCTTAAACCCATTTACATTGATATAGATTTAATCGCCATACGTATGAATGCAGCACCAATATTTTGTAGTATACAAGGTTCCCCTTTGGTTGGACTCACGGACGCCGTGGGTCCTGTATTCCAGGGCAATTTTAGCTTGTAGGGGCCGTATTTTTGTGCGAGCTCTTCGTGGTTGAATACATCTATAAATTGTTGCTTCTTGCTGAGGATCTTCATCATTCTTTCCAAGTTATCTGATGAAGATTCTTTCTTTGCAATTCATCATCTTTTTCTCTTCCTCTCGAAAAGCGGGCACTCTCGTGCTGACAATTGCGGATTAATTCAGGATGGTCGACTTGGACGCTTGCGCAACATCTCCATTGGTAGCAAACAGGAATACTAGTGCAACTATGAGATATTGTAGGTGAGGGGCAAATTGGAGAATGCTTGTTTGTGATTGCGACGCGAAACGTGAGCGTCGTTATTGAAGGAATAATTTCCAAGATTACCATCAAATCATACGCGTGCAAAACACCTTAGACACTAAATTTTAGCATCTCCAAAATTATTCTAGAGCAATGCTAAAACGCAACAGGCAAGCAAAATAACAGTACTTTATTGCGAGCGATGCAGCTTTTTCATGCTTGTTAGGATGCAGCACTCATTGATACTAAAAGTAGTACTAAACGCCTTATTTCCAAAATTGAACCGTTTTTTAGAAAAAGATGGCCATTGGATGCAAAGAGAAATTGTTCTTGTTAATAAAGACGGCATCGGCTATGGAAAGGTACCACATGCTTCCTAAATAGTCCTATTAGATACACTCCTGGACACAATTGTACGGCCACCTCGTCGAGTGCCTTTACTCAGTCTATTTTTATTATTTAGCGGTGCAGTTTTCACACAAGTTGCAAAAGATGCTTCAAAATAGCAAGGATGTGCTATAAGTGTACTGTACTTCTTCAAAACATTATCTAAATACTGACTACTGAGTAAGTTCAATCAGTCCTAACTTTTGAGTGAAGATTTTTTTTTTTAAGGCGCGTGCTTACTTTTGAGGAAACTATTAAGCTTACCAGCTGAGCTACGCGGTTTGCTTCGCTCGCGATGTTAAGCTTTAATGTACAGGAGAATGCGGTGTTCAGCTTGCCGGTGAGCTCGCCTTAGTTGATCTGGGGCGCTATCGGGCCTCTCTGAAAGTTAAAACAGCTACAACAAATGTTTTAGTGCTTCCAATTTACTCAGTTTTCAGCCAAAACTTTCCTTATAAAACAGGTGTTTCCTCATTTTCCTTCTATAATTCCGTTACGCAGAAGTCAGTAAAATTTCCTCAAAAGAAAGGCTGTTCCGAATTTTATTCTTCCGGGTTACGAGACCTTACTACGTACTAGCAAATGTCCCTTGTGTCTTGTCTTTCTTATCTACCACTACTACGTAGTAGTTATGTCGTTCATTATGAACTACAAGATGGACCAACTCAACTAGGGTACACGCTAGCTACTTTCCATCCCGCTGGTAGTACGGGCCTTCCGACTCCACTGGTTCGATGATGGTCCAAATGGGTCCCAACGAGTCAACCTCTTTGTCGCTGTACCCAACCAGGCCGCCCAACTGGTATCCATCCGGTGCCACTTCCTTACCAATATTATCCGTTGGAGTTCCGCCAGAAATCGTATTTCCCTGGTCGGTGGTAAACTCGATGTACATGATACGCGTTTTGCGGTAGTACTTCCCGAGTGTGCTTGAACGCCGATGATGTGCTCGTCAGCACCTAGCGTGAGTGTGTTTGGGTCACCGCCACCACCACCGTGGGCCAGGTTGTCCTTCACCCCCCAAGGATCCACAACGACCAGGCTGACGGCGTCAATACGGTCGGCAGAGCGAATCGTGATAGATTCCACAGTTTGGCCAGGCGAAACGCGATTCAGGTCCGAAAACTTGTCACCGTGGGGTCCACCGAAAGTCTCTCCCAGCCGAATGCCATCCTGCAAGGCAGTAGTACAGCCTGCCACGATCACCACCGCCGCCGCGAAAATCTGCGAAATCGATTTCATCTTTGTTTTGCTTTCGGGTAGGAGGAAAAAACAGTAATGAGCTTAATCCAAGGCTGGAACGTAATGAAGTATTGGAACAGGTAGCTTCTATTTACAAATCCAATCAAATATTTATCGAGTCGTTGTACGATAACTGCTCTTTTTCTCGGGTAGCCTAGCTTTTACCAAACTACGGGGTAATCAAAAGAGTATTGTAGCTTCTTGGTGAAGTGTATGTTGAATCGGTTAGGTCATAATGTCGTTCAGGCTAGTACATTTAGCTTGACAGACTAAGCGGGTCTGTCGCTTAAAGCTGTTCAAGCCCAATAAAGAGCTGACGGTAACAATAAACTAAGAGCAGAACTC